GACGCCGCCGACGATTCCCCCTCTGGAGACGACGAGAGGTAATGAGTTTTTTTTCCCTCCGTTTTTTTTTTGTGTGGGAGTGGTTAGTTGTATCATGGAAGTTGGAAATTTAATATGTCTTCATTCAATTTATTTCCGATTTTATTAGCATTTATTTTGTAGTACTTGTTTACAATCCACATTTCTTTTGTTTAGTTCTAATGAGTTTACGGAACTCCTCTATTTGATCTCTCAGTTTCTACAACATTTTGGTATTCCTTTGTTATTCACTTTCCAGCGTATATTATGATAATTTATGTGACCATACTTTCAATTGGTCATCTTTCTTACAATTATTTCCTTTCGAGCGGAATATTTGCGTTTGTAGTCAATGGGGGCAAAGAGGAATAGAGGTACTCCTAAAAGAACTTGGCTGAAGCTATTAAGAAGAATATGATGACTGTTAACTCAACAGAGGAGATGACCCATAATACAACTGAATCGAGGAGTAGGATTCATGTAGCCAGATCCCAAATTCAGAATATTTGCATATTTGTTTCTTTTTTGATGAACGTACTCATGTTTTTTTTTTTTAAATTGTATATGTATTATCAGAAGCCATTTAATCTGATCTGCTGTCTTTTGCAGTGCTCTAATATTCTTACCTTCTCGAAAGTTTAGAGGTCATCGGAAGACAAGATCTTAACTTCTCGCGGAGTTTCTTATATTGCAATGGCTTTATCCGCTTTATCAGCTTGTATTATGGATGATAATCTGTCTGGGCTGAGATCATCGGGAAGTTCCTTTTCCAAATATTACGGGGGACACTACGAAACATGCTCTCCTTCAAGTATTAAATGTAAACACTTGTCTTCTGTCGGTCCCTTACGAACGTTTCATTCAACGAATTCTATATACAGAAGTGGAATTAAATGCCATTCTGTCACTGAAAAAAGATTTCCCTACTCGGCGGGCAAAAAATTTGGACTTGACAATGTTATTGAAGCTCAACAATTTGATAGGGACATTTTAAATGAAATATTCAAAGTCGCTTGTGAAATGGAATCGATTGAAAAGAATTCATCTGGGAGCAAAATGTTAAGGGGTTTTCTTATGGCCACTTTATTTTATGAGCCCTCAACTCGTACTAGACTATCCTTTGAGTCGGCCATGAAAAGATTGGGTGGAGAAGTGTTGACAACCGAGAATGCAAGAGAGTTTTCTTCAGCAGCTAAAGGAGAAACTCTTGAAGGTACACTATATTACTCAACTTTTATGATTTATACATAGTTTATGATTTCCCTTTTTTGATGATTTAGGAAATTTGGGTTGCAGATACTATAAGGACTGTCGAAGGGTACTCAGATATAATTGTTATGAGGCACTTTGAAAGTGGAGCTGCAAGAAGAGCAGCTTCTACTGCTACTATTCCTGTTATTAATGCTGGAGATGGTCCAGGACAGCATCCAACACAGGTACCTAAAACTGATTTAAATCACGTATTAGTATAAGGGCTATTTGCACTTTAATACCCTAAAGTTTCACCCTTTCTTAAATTTGATACCTTGAGGTTCAAAATTTGATATCCAAAGCACAAAAAAATGATGTTAATTTTGTCCAAGAATATCAATGCACAAAAGTTAATGAGAAACAAATTCTCTTACCAAATTTCTTTCAGTTTTTTGAGTTTGGGGAAGGGAGGAACGATGTCAGGGCCTTGGAACATCAAATTGTCAAATTAATGTCGATATGAGACTTTGGGGCATCAAATAGTAAAAATATAACTTTAGGGTATCAAAGATAAGAAATAAAGGAAGTTGAAATTTTAGAGTGTAAAAGTGCAAATAAGCCTTAATATAACTAATAATTGTTGTTTCTTACCAAAATTTTTCATGAGGATGTTACATATGTTCAACATAGTCTTCACCTTTCCCTTTGAGCAAGATTTTAAGCCTTAGCAATTCCTGCAAATGTTGCAAATGAATGAGTAATGTGCTTGATAAAACTGAGGTATAATTTTTGTTTTTTGTTTTTTTTGTTTGTTTCTTTGTTTATTTTTTGTTTTAGAGTGTTTATGGAATCTTCTGCCGTTGTAAGTTATGATACGGTAGCATATACTCTTGCCAGAAGATTGGCTTCCTGCAAAGCCTCTGACTGAAAAGTTATATACATCTTTTATTTGGAAAAAGGTTATCATTTCTTGACATTTGAATCTATAAAAAAAAACCTTGAAACATGTAGCACATCAATTACACTTATTGGTAGATTAGGTTAACATTGTGTTATTGTTGCCCCGGAGGCCCAGAGGCAGACCAAATATCATCAAACTTAACATGCCTTGAACATTAATTATTTTTAAAAATGTTAGGCGTGTCTGCTTATCCTGCAGGGGCTTATGTTGGTTCACGTTGGTGGGGTGGCCCGTGTGGGTGTGTGTGTACCCTTTAATAGGATAATGGTTATATATACTTATTTCATCTCTTTTATAATGTAAATTTTGAATTATTAATTTTACTAAACTAAGAAGAAAAGGCTAAAGTTATTATTTATTCGTTAAAGAGTGGGTATCTGTCATTATGGTACTTAGCTAGCCGTTATACATAGTTCCAGACTATGTAAAAATTCTAATTACATAAAGTGGATACATAAATCTTGGGTTGCGATGAACACGTGCCCACCCTCAGGTAAACCTAGTTCTTATCCAAATGGTCTACACCATGTGAAATGTTTCTGAGAGTAGAGGAAAGAAGAACAAGGAGCTAGGATGTCAACCTGTCTGACTCCTTTGTGTTCACGAGAGTGTTTTGCTCTTAACATTTTTGGGATTCTATATTTAAAGAAAGGCGTGAGCAATAAATAAACAGTCATATTTAAAAAGGCGTTATATTCGTGGTTTACAGATATAGCAGGAAAACATAGATGTCTCATGTTTGATTTGTAAAATTGTCAAGTTTACTTGTGAGTTCACGAAATGCTAATCCAAGCTTAGTATTCTTACAGCTCTCAACCATTTGACTGATGGGCTAAGTGTATGGTGTGATACGAACAGTATGCGTTTACTGTTGACTATTCACTACAAGTGTAGATGATTGTGCATTTCTGAATTAATTGACTGGTGACAATTTTTACCCTTACCACAATATAGATAAAAATCAAACCATGATCCTTGCTTCTTTACCTTATCAGGCAAATTCTTTTATCACATTATTTTAAATCAAGATGGATTTCATCAAAACTATCATTATAACACTGATGCAAAAGTCAGATCTTTTGTTCAAACACATATTACTTACAAGTAGCACTGCATGCATGCTTGATTGGAATTGTATCATGCAATCCTCAGCAACCTCAGATTTTAACAATATGGGTAAACAAACTTTAGTTAGAGCAGTGTTTATGCCTTCAACAGTGCTTTTGGTTCTAACATTAGAGATGTGTTTGTCCGCATGGATGTTTTACATTCATTTCTAAACATCAGTGTGCTTGCACTTCTTGAGATAAACCTTTCATTTCAAATACAGCAATGTGATGTCTGTATATTGTACATCTGTTCTCTTTTTTGTCTTTTTTTTTTCTTTTCTGTTCTCTTATTTGTCTAACATCGGAAATTATATGTCGATGAAACTATTTGTGTGGCCTTTATTCCTCATACTAGTTTTATCAAGATGCAGCCATGCTCCCTCTTTCTCTCCCGTGTTTCCATTTAGCAACCATAAGGCCTTTATAGCACAGCGAATATCTTCCTCAATACGAGTTCTTCAATGTGTTAGTTGCAGTAAAATGATTCTACATTGCATGATGAACAATGATTTTTGTGCGATCCTAATCAACCTACTATACAATGGAGGCCATTAAATCCGCCAATTTGGAGAAGTAACAAGATTATAATTAATCGAGAAGTGAGGACTATAGTTAGGTCTAAGAGAATTTGGTTAGAAAGTTAAGAAAGATGTGATAATGATTATCTTAGTGGAGGAGATAATCCTCAAGGAAACTGAGTGGAAGAGTTGGATACACGTGGCTGACCCTAAAATGCTTGGGAATAATGGCTTTGTTTTTGTGGTGGTGGTGGTTGTTGTTGTTGTTTTGATAAAAATGGCGGAAGATCCTCGTGTTTCATTAAAAAGCGTTTAATGAAACATATAGATACAAAATGTAGCACTCTCTAACCTACAACTTTTATAATTGACTGCTTTCCTTAACTTTTAATGCATCCATTTCTTCTCGCTAACTGTTCTTGTATGTGAACAGGCCCTTTTGGATGTCTACACCATTGAAAGAGAAATTGGCAGGTTGGACGGAATTAGACTGGGCTTGGTTGGAGATCTTGCTAATGGCCGCACGGTTAGATCGTTGGCTTATCTAATTGCCAAGTACCAAGACATCAAGATTTACTTTGTTTCTCCAGATGTTGTAAAGATGAAGGTAACAATTAATTCTCATCATAGATAATGATGAAGGTTATTTCTGAGCTCTCCCAGAATTTTATAAGAAACTGAAAGCTTGTGGTTTCTTCTTCGATTGTAGTTATTTTTAGATATTGGTCCCTTTGATCTTTCATAATTTTAAATTAGACCCAAAACTTTGAAATTGCTATTTAGTCCCTCACCAATAAGTTACTCTAAATTAGTCCTGTTAGTTTCTCCATCCACTTTTTAAATGGAGGTGGAGTTGTCTATGAGTTAAAAGGGGATTTTCAAGGATTGAGAGGAGAAAGAGCCTTTAGAAAGACGAGTTTAAGTAAAAAGATGACAATTTGGGGGGGAAGATGTAAATTTTGGGCTTGGGTTAATTGGTGTTGAGTTTTGGAATCAGTTATGCCTTGGATGTCAAACTTAAGGAATAACTGGAAGATCATGTCAAAAATGTAAAGTTTGTTGGTATATACTACACAATCGGACGACAACTTACCATGAGGACTAATATGGAGTAAATTGTAGGATTTGAGGGCTAATATAAAAGATATGAAAGATTGAAGCGAACTATATCTGAAAGGTCTTTTATTGTAATACCTGCTATAGTGAATACAGCGAGCAGTTGGGGTCCTCTTGGAAATGATACTGAAACTGAACCTCATGTTTGCAGGACGACATTAAAGTTTACTTGACATCACAAGGTGTGGAATGGGAAGAAAGCACAGATTTACTCCAAGTTGCTTCCAAGTGTGATGTTATATACCAGACTAGAATTCAGCGAGAAAGGTTTGGAGAGAGGATAGATCTTTATGAAGCAGCTCGTGGCAAGTATATAGTCGACCAGAGAGTGCTCAGTGTGATGCCAAAGCATGCAGTTGTCATGCATCCTCTCCCAAGGCTTGATGAAGTAAATAATCTCAATCTTTCCTTTATTTTTCCGTCGCTTTTGAATATGTTTTCTTAAAGTAAGCGGGCAATATATCAGAATAGTTGTTAACTAGAGAAAGAGAATAATGGATATCATTGAGATATGAGGGGTTCTATCATATAATGTTATATGGCTGAGTCTTGGCCAAGTGGATAAAGGGGGAGAGAATTGCTTGTAAGCACACTTGGACGAGATTTAGCCGCATCATTGTTTATGAGGGAATCCTTTCATTGACCGACTTATGATATCCCTTAGTCTCCTAGAGAAAGTAGATAGAATATACATCGAGCAGAGGGAGAATAGGAAGAAGTCAGTAAGAGGAGATAAGAGGATGGGTTAGAAAACAAAACAGATTAACATTGTATTTTATGAGCTGTATAACTGACATATTTGTATTACTCTGCAGATCACAGTGGAGGTAGACGCTGACCCTAGGGCTGCATATTTTCGTCAGGTCAAAAACGGGCTATATATTAGGATGGCTATTTTGAAGCTCTTACTTTTAGGATGGTAACAGTTTTTCTCCGACATCCTTGAATTCGAGGTGTAATAATGTTATTATACCTGCGTTTATGAAATTTGATGGTACCATGTATTTGTATTCTTCTTTTTTGAGGTTAGGCTATCTACGATCCTTCGGTAACTTACTTACAAGATGAGAAACTCTTTATGTAACAAACACATGGTGAATGCTCTGCATCTTCACCCTGTAATCTTCAAAATAATTAAGTAGTTTGAAATGTTTTCTAAAGAGTTTTGGCTGATTCCAGGAAATGTGTTTGTCAAGATGATGATATATAGAGGAAAATACACAAGCTGACTGACACAATCATTATTACTAAGAACTAGTCGTGAACACCGTGCAGCACGGCATTTAATTTTTTTTCTTGCTACAGTTATCCCGATTTTTAATGTTACAGTAATTTTTTGAATCGCTACAGTTCCCTCCTCTGTTATAGTTTTTAAAAATGCTGCAGTGTTCCCTTGTGCTACAACATTTTTTAAAAAAATGCTACAGTAGCCAGGACAGTATCCTGTTTGCTACAGTAAATGTTCCTGTAGTATTTGCTGTAGCATGAATAGTTATTCTTTTCATCCTCCTATTTGTATAAAGGAATAGATTTGTACATATGAAGTGTTCAAGCAAAAACCAAATTGTTCCTCTCTAAAGAGGATAGAACAGGATAATTTGATCATCTGTTATTTCTCGTGTTAATCCGCAATGTCATTTACCTTTGTGGTCTAATTTGATCATCTGATAATTTGATCATCTATATTTTGATTTTGACTGCGTATCTAATTGGAGAGGTGCATGTCGTGTGGCAAACGACAATGCATATTTTCCGAAAAATATCAATATCTCACTTGGGACGTTAAGGGGCTGTTTGGTTGGACCAAATTTTTAGAAATCCTACAGTTTTGAAACAAAAAGTAAGTTTTTTGACATTATAAGATTTCAAAACTGCCGTTTGGTTCACTTTTTTTTCAAGAAAAGCTTTCTTAAAAGCTGACATGGCACTGAAATTTTAGGAAAACCCAATTCCCCAATTTTAGAGAGGAAATGGGCAAACTTTTTGACATTTTGTCCACCTCAGCCATCGCGTTTTCATCTTCTCTCTTCACGTTGCCTTTCTCTTTCTCTTTCC